ACGGGGGGGTGAGCAACCTAAGCAGATCACTTCCCTAAAGTCAGGTACAGGGTCGGGAAGGGACTGGCTGCTTTTCCGATAACCAGTTCCTCTTCTGCTTAGTTGCAACCTGTCCTTGGGGCGGGCCGTCTTCCATGCCGGGCCTCGGCATGCCATTCCAGAAATGGAGCAATAAATGCCAAACCCTAGAATTTGATCAGGCAATGTGGGCGACGGGAGAAATGCGAAGGAAGCCCCCTAGTCCTTAGTGTGCGTGGACGATGGCATCAGGCCCCAGCTTTAGCTCTGGTTTTCTCCTCCCTCCCTTCGTCTCCCTCTCCCTCCGTCCTTCTTTCTCTTCTTCCCTCCCTTCTTTTCTCCCTCCTTCCTTCCCTCCCTCCCTCTTTCCTTCTCTCCCGTCTTTCTTTCCTCCCCTTCCTCCCCTCTTCTCTTTATTTGTCAAGACAGGGACTCATGTAGCTCAGGCTGGACTTGATATGTAACTGAGGATGACCTTGAACTTGTAATTCTTCTGCCTCCACCTCCAGAGCACCGGGATCACAGGCATGCATCAGCACGTCCTCTTTATGCCTTAATCTTCTCATCTCTTTAGCGAGGTGGAGAGTCACAGCGTACAAATCCTGTTAGCACGCGCAAGGACTCCATACACGCCAGCTCTCATGGTCATTGTCTTGCCATTAAAGAGTAATCCTCACCGATGTTCATGAAATGGGGAAGGCCAAGGTGAATGGGTGCTGGCTTCTCCAGAGACAGACCCCGTTCCAGGTTCTGAACATAGCCAGCCTTCCATAGTTTGCCCTGTCCCCAGTCCTGGTCCCCTGCCTGGATGTCCTGTCCCTCTTGGCTGCTCAAGGAACATTTCTGTTGAATTGACACTCACATGGGCGTCAGGAAGCCTGCACTGCCTGTGACTCTGCTTGTGGCTATGGAGAGCACAGACTCATGGGTTCTGGTCAGCTGCTAAAGCAGGCCACCTCCCTTGGGATGCTGGACCGATGAAAACGGCCAGCTGGACTGCAGCTTGTCTGAAGCCACTTATCCCATGGCCTCAGGCAATGGCTGTCAGTTCCAGCTCCCGGCAGGCAGCAGGTCCCAGTGGAGCTGTGCAAAGGCCAAGCAGTGAACTGAGGGGAGCTGAGAGCCATGCCATTCCAAAAACGCCTTTCTGGAGAAGGATGAGTGGGGAAGGTGAGAGTGGCCTTGGGGTAGGGGAGGCTTAGTGATCTTTCTAGAAAGATCTGGAACATTCCAGAAAGGAATACATTATGGGTTCAGGGCAGATTCCTGGGTGCTAGGAAAGAGTGAGCCATGGCTCATTAGACATACACTCACCACCGGCAGCCCGCCTGTCCTTCCCAGGTGACTCTAGAAGGCAGAGGTGTGACATCAGGGTAGATGCTCCCTTAGCTCCTTGTTTGCCCTGTCAGAGTCCCAGGCTCTCTGGAACTGCTTTTCCTGCCAGGTCCCTGAGGCGTCAAAATGTCTAAACCTACCAGCTTCTCAACAGCTCTGCTGTTTACACTTCCTCAACCAAGTGCCGTGTACAGGGTTCCTTGTGTCTCTGGGAGCCCCCTCCCATAGTCTCTTCTCCACATAGTCCTCTGTAAGTATCTCTAAAACAACCAGTGTCAGAGCACAGCATTCCAGAACCTTCTATCACACTTGTAATCAAATCCAGAATCCATAGGCCCAGAAGACGGGATACGCCCTGGGCCAGTTTCTCTTTCCAACCTGCTCCCCTAAGTTCTCACACTTTCTCTCTGTGGAGATCCTGTCTCTGTTCTCTGAATGTACCTGCTCAGCTCTGCCCCAGGGCCTTTGAGCCTGCTGAGCTTGCTGGAATGAGTGCCTTCTTCACCATCAGTCTGTGAATTTCCCACAGCTTTTAAGCCTCAGCTCAAATGTCCTAGATGTAGCCTCACCTCACCTGGGCCGCTCATGGGTCTCTCCCAGGACCTTTGCTGGTCCTTCTGTGGTGAGCACTGTGCAAGGCTGTTAGTGTCTGAGCCTGTGTTTTCTCTGGATGCTGAAGTCAGAGGCATCTGGCACACAGTGGGCTACAGGGAAAGTCAAATGGTCCAGTGGCTTTCCTCTGATGGCAGATGCAATGCAGGCTCAGAGAAGGGGTTAAGTGAGCAAAGGCCTGGACCTATCTACCTCACTGGCCATCTCAGAAATTCCCTGGGAAGCAACTGAGAGAGATCCTTGCACTGCCCTCTCAGTGCAAAGTGCTCTCTGACAAGCCACATGTGCCTCTGTGCCTCAGTTTCTCCTCCGGTCAGTGCTTGAAAATATCATTCTGAGTATGTTGGTGGTGATGCCGTGATTGTCTGTGAGAAGTGAGCAGGCAGAGCCTGCTGGTCCTGCAGTCCTGGTGCAAAGTAGGGCGGCGGGGCCTCCAGCTCACACCTCCACCAGCCCCCCAGGCCTGCCTGCTGAGGAAGGAAATGGGTCGCAGTCAGAACTGCACTGGGATTCCTCATTTCCGCTCGTGTCTTTGGGGACAAACACTTTTCAGTTTCATTTAATCACAAAGCTTCTTAATTAGGTTTTCTTTTTTTTAAAATTTTCAGTTGCTAAGCCATCCTTGCTTTAGAAGGAGCAATATGCTGCTCTAGGGCCAGCTGGTCCAGTCCAGTCACCTAGGCCAGCAGCTCTGAGACTCAGCAAGATGCAGGGCTGCTCTCTCTCAGCATTGAGGTTCACACCCTCGTTGGCTACTTCCCCAAGACATCTACTAAGCACCTATTGAGCACCTACTGTGTGCCAGGTGCTGGGGATGCAGTGGAGCTAATGGCAAGGTCTCACCCTGAAAGAGCTGACCATGATGTCAGATGCGGGCTAGAAGGTCAAACATTGGGCCTGGTCTTAGCAGTGCCAGAGGACTTCTTGGAGGTGGCAGTGGTGGCGTCATTTAAGCTGAGATTCGAAAGCATAAATTGAAGATGACCAGGGCAGTGAGGGGCAGGAAGTGGCTGGCCCAGGTGGCCAGCCTTCCTCTGGTTCCTGTTTCATCCACACAATGTGCTCATTCACTGTTCATACCCTGGGGAGACCTGGGCTCCTGTCACCAGCACAATGGCTTTCCAAGAGAAAAAGCTGAGTCTGTGGGGAGATGTCCATTGCTGCTGGTGGTGACATTTCTGTAGGACTCTGAAGATGCGGACAGGCAGGGATGAGAGGACCGGGGAGGAAAGAGTGTGACATCTAGGTGATGGGGCGCCCTAGGGGACTAGTTGGTTGCCATGGTTGTCACACCAATCATAAAGCGTTCTCTTCTTCATGCAACTGGTCTGTCAGGTGTCTGTACTGCAGGCTTGGGGAAAAGGTGGTGGTCCCTGAACAGGAACACACAGTCCCTGACTCCAGGACACGTGAGGTAGCCAGCAGTCACCAACAGCTGAGTGAGTTAATGTGTGAAGAGGCCCCAAGAGTCACCAGACCCGGGCTAACCCAGCAGCTGAAGAGGTGGCAGGGCTAGGCGGATCACAGGAAGTGGGCTCCAGCAGGTCTGGCTGCTACTGTCTCTGGTTCCCTTCTCTCAGCTGTTAGGGAGGGAGAGACTTCCCATCTACTTTTTTTTTTTTTTTTTTTGGTCTTTTCGAGACAGGGTCTCCCTGTGCCCTAGCTGTACTGAATTCACTATGGAGACCAGGCTGGCCTTGAACTCACAAAGATCCGCCTGCCTCTGCCTCCCGAGTGCTGGGATTAAAGGCGTGCGCCACCACACCTGGCCCCATCCACTTTCCACCCATAAGGGGCTTGCCCTCAACTAAGGACTTCCTACAAGTCACTGATATTTTAGTCTGAACAAAGCCTTATGCCATATTTCCCAAGGTACTTGTGGGGTCTATGGGTGCAGGGAAGAGGGGTCACCAGTCAGAGTAGAGGGTCACAGGGCCTCTGATGTTTATCCATGTGGATGGCCAGCTGCTATGTCCACTCCCCGAGCCTCGCTGTTATGTAGGTTGCATGTTTTCCTCATCTCAGATGGTGCTGCCCTAGCCCATCCTGTGGCAGGTAGAACAGAAAAGCAGGGGCCCTGGGATATGCCTGGTGTTGGCACCTACCTCCTCTCCTTCACCCCCACGGCCCCTGCTGAGCAGAAGTCTCATCTGAGGCCTAGGGGGGGAAGAACACCTGCCAGAGGCCACATCGCTCTCTTCTCTCCACCTGTGAGGCAGCCTTCCCGTTCACTTGTGGCTCACAGTAGGCTGGCCCTCAACTGTGGACTTCCTATCAGTCACTGACACCTTAGTCTGAAACAGAAGCCCTGTGTCACATTTCCTAAGCCTCCATGGGCACACCCACACAGACACTCTCAACCCTTACCAGTCTCCTGTGGGGAGTCAACAGGTGAAGACCAGTTATTACTGCTAAGTGTAGCTTTTGGAAAACCAGTTTGTTATAACCTCAGGGCTCAGGAGGTCATGCCAAAGGGATCTCGGTAGAGACAAGGTTCAGAGTGGCATGTCACCAAGACAGCCACCTGAGGACCACCAGATGGGAACAGCGAGGCCTGGAGAGGCCAAGGTCTCACAGCAGAAAGGGAGGAACGAACGGAGAGCCAAGCAGCCTGACTCGAGGCTCAGCCCCACCTGCTGCACCAGTGTGTCTGGCCTGGTGTGATTTGGACATGAGGCTTGGGTTGGGAGAGGGGCCTGTGGGACGTGGGGTCAGCGGAGACACGGCTACCTTCTCATAATACTGGAGCTCGTAGTCCAAGATCACGCCATTGGGCTGGTCTGGCTGGGACCATGACAGGGTGATGCTGTCCACAGCGCGGCTCACCTGATGCATGATGGACACGGCTGATGGTGCTGTAAGAGAGGTCAGGGGTCAGAAGTCAGAGCAGGGGTATAGAGGGACAGCTTACCTCAGAGAAGCCAGGTTAAACAGGAAACTGGGGGACCAGAGCAAAACTGGCTGAGGCCACACAGCCAGCAGGGTAGCAGACAGGGTTGGGCCCGCTCCTGCAGATAGCGGCCAACAGCCTCCCCCAGGGAAGCTGGGGCCATGTCAGGCTGAGGGAGACACACGGGGCCCTTTCTGGCTTCAAGGGGTTGGACAAGGCTCTCTACTGGGTCAGACAGGCTAAGTGATGGATACACCTAAGGTTGTAGAGGATGAGAGTCTACTGATGGGAGGGTTAGCAGGGGCAGGTTGAAAGTTTGGTTGCCAGGGGCTGGGGGAAGGGCAACAGGGTGTGTTGGGCTGCGGTGGCATCTGGGGTTTCTCTCAGGGGTAGTGATGGGTAGTGATAGTGTTTTAGAATTAGTTGGGGTACAGGGTGCAGTAAGCATGCTGCTATTCCATGTGTTGAAATGGTTAGGTATGTGCCACGTGAACTCCACTTCAAGTAAATTCATCAAGTAGTCAATCGATGAACCCTCTCCTGCCCACAGTCTGTGTTTTCACAGACCAGTTTAGATGGAGACATGAAGGTGGGCTGTGCTCAGCTCTGACAAATCATTCAGTTCAATTTCCTCATCTTGCACTTGTGGAAACTGAGGTCCAAAGAAGTCTGGGAACCGCCAAGCTGACGGTTATAGCTTTTCTCTGACCCCTTCATTTTTTTGTTTGGTGTTTTTGTGGGTTTTTTGGGTCTTTTTGAGACAGGGTCTCCCTGTAGCCCCAGCTGTCCTGGAACCCACTATGTAGACCAGGCTGGCCTTGAACTCACAGAAATCCGCCTGACTCTGCCTCCTAAGTGCTGGGATTAAAGGTGTGCGCCACCACGCCTGGCTGACCCCTTCATTTTTAACACCACGGCTCGGTTTTTGCCTCTTCCTGTGGGGCAAGCCTGCACACAGAGAATGGCCCTGCAGCGGACAGCATGTAGCAGTCAGAGCCTGGGTAGGTCTGCAGAGCCTGCTCTTCCCAGGGTGCATCCGGGCCTGGTCTCCCAAGTGCTTCTCTGCCTCTTCCCTCATGTCTCTGAGTCTGAGGGACCATGAAACATCAGAGTACTGAGGACTCTAGACCTCATTCCCATGAGGACTCCCAGGGTGGAGGGAGCACCTCCAGACCTTTTTCCTGGCTCCTGAACAGGTCTGTAATGGGCAGATTTCCTATCCTGGCCAACAAAGAGACACCATTAACACTGAGGCCAACCCTTCTCCTCCCAGTTCCTACCCCACTTCCCAGGGCTTTGGCCATACTGGGCACCAGGACCTGACGGCAGAGCTGACTCAGCTGTTTCCACTCCGCCTTGTCTCCCCAGACTGTCCACTGTGTCTTTTGCTAACTGGCTGTGTGGCCATAGGCAGTCAACCTCTCTGTTTTGGCTGTTTCCTCCGTTCTACAGTCAGACTTCTGGATTTGAGGCCCAGCAACTCCAACACCTGCTGCCAGTTCTCCCGCAGCCCTCAGCCTGGAGGCCAAGGTAGCTGAGCCAGGCTGGACTCCCCTCCCTGAAATCCTCCACAGACACCCCTCACATGGAGGAGCTGGACCCTGGCCCAGGCTGTGTGATGAGCTGAGACCCCCACCCCTTCCCAGGAACATCTCAGTCCAGCTGGGGTGGTGATCTGGGACAGAAGCTGGAGCAGGTTCAGTATGCAGTGCCTGGGACAGGGTCAGCAGTCAGTGCCAGAAGTGTCTGTTACTGTGTGCTGAGCAGAGGCCCTCTGACCTTTCATTTGATCCTTTCAACCGCCATGTGGGAAGGGATACAGTATCTGCTCTCTACAGAAGAGGCAACTGCGGCCCAGAGAGGCCCAGTGCCTTCCCCAAGATCACACAACTTGAAGCTGGGCTAGCCTGAGTTGCTCCTGTCCTCCTTATTCCCTGACCCTGTCTGTATCCCCAGAGCCTTCTCTCCCAACCTCCCTCTGTACCTCCCTCTGTCCCTCCCTCCCTCCCTCCAGGAGCCAGACCAGTAACCCCTGTGAGATGCCCCAGCTGACTGTGAGGCCGGGTTGAAAACAAAATTCAAGTTCCTTCTGGAGCATCACAGACCTAAGCCAATCTGGTGACCCTGCCTGGGGATGTGCTCCATGCTGGCCCAGGGGGCAGCTCTGCACCCTCCCCTGCTTCTCAGCCCCCCTCAGCCAACCCCAAGGCAGTACCACTCAGCACTGCATATGGGGTTGGAGAGGGTGTGGGGAGCACCTTCCTGTGTTAGGCCAGTAACAAGGTGATGTACATGAACATGCGTGTGTGCATATGCACATATACACACATACACACTCACACATACATGCATCCACATATCTACATATACACAGACATATATACTCACACATAACACATGCACATATATATACATATTCACATATACATGCATGCATAAACATATATCATGCTCATACATAACACACCTATACACATGCACACACATACACATAGACATGCACTCACATATAACACTCACATATTTGCATGTACACTCATGCATGCAAACATACATACGTATGCTCCCACACACCACATGCATGCCCACATACATACACTCACACATTTGCACACACACATGCTTGCACACATGCATACACACATTCATTTGCTCACACATCCACATATGCATAAATACACTCATATTTGTGTACACACACATGCTTACACACATACACACATACAGGTGCTTACACATAACACTCAACACATATGCACACACATCCACATATACACACATCCCCACTGGCCAGTGAGTACACACATGTGCACACACACACACACACACACACACACACACACACTCTTGTGGTGAGGATGGGTGAGGAGCATTTAATAGAGCTGCTCCCAGAGCTCGATTCAGTCAGCTCTCCACACTCAGCTCTGCAGAGGGTCGTCCAGCCCCTGAGGGCAGTGCAGCCCCCAATGTGAAGGCCTGCCCTGCTCTCCTTCCCCTGGCTGACCCGCCACCTGGCAGGTCTTCATGGGCACACTCTGTCCACCAGTGCCCCTCTCTGCCGCCAGCATGTGAAACTCTGGAAAGAGGGGAGACTACTGCTTCGCGAGGCGCCCTGTGAGTTCTCTTCCCAGCTACAAGACCAAGTGACATAAGTGTCCCTCGCTAACCTCGGTCCTCAGCTGGCGTCAGCATAACCAGGAATCTTGGCTAGACCTCACACTGCAGTCCCAGCTGCTGACTCCGCAGGACTCAGGTGTGGGGTGCCAGGGAACCTGGTCTCCTAACCCACTACCTGCAGAAGCTGATGCTGCTAGGGCAGAGCATGCTCAGAGAGGGGGAGGGATTTACCCAAGGTCACACAGTGGCTGAGCCCTGGAGGGGCATGGTCACCTCTCACCCACCTAGGCTAGACTCTCCCCAAAGTCTCTCCAGCTCTGAATTCCAAAGGAATGGGACAGGTAGCTCTGTAGGAGGGGTGGAGAGCAGACTCTCTGGGGACCACAGTGGGCAGTGGCCTCCTCCTCAGCCAACCCAGCTTATGGTCCTGGAGACCTTGTAGGCTCCATGATGCCCATCCAGAGGAGGCCCTGGTCACTGACACCCACAGGGTCACTTTCCAGGGACCATCTCTGTTACCACTCATGTCAGCCTTGAGTTGGGCATTATTTTTTTTATTTATTTTTTTATTATTTTATTATTATATTATTATTTATTTACTATTTTATTTATTTTTATTTTATGTGTATGTGTGTATTGCCTGCATGTGGGTAAGTAAGTGCACCCGTATAGTGCAATGCCATTGGAAATCAGAAGAGGCTGTCGGATCTCCTGGGACTAGAGTTATAGACAGTTGTTAGCTACCATGTGGGTGCTGGGATTCGAACCTGGGTCTTCTGCAAGAACAACCAGTGTTCTTAACTGCTGAGCCATCTCTCCAGCCCGAGTTGGGCATTATTATACCCACTATGCATGAAGAAATGGAGTCAGGAAGTGTGAAGAAAACAGCCGGGCCACACACAGCAAGCAATAGAGCCAAAATGTGAACCTAGGACCACTTGGGTCCTGTGGTGATACAGGGGGCCCAGGGAAGTCTGGGGAGCCAGCAGAGGGCCTGTAAAGACACCCTGCACTCTTGCTGTGGCCATGAGGCCAGCTCCCTCTCCCCTGCTGGGCAGGCGTGGTGGTCCCCCAGGCTTGGGGGGTCTGCTCTGTAGCAGGCTTGGGTTTCAGGCAGCCCCTGGACTCTGAGCTCCTAAGCCCCATAACCCAGACGTGGTGAGGGGGTAGCATCTGCAGGGAAGATGATCAAGGTGGCCTGGGGCCTGGCCCCTCTCTTGGAATCCAGGGATTAACAGTGAGAAAAGGGACAGCTGTTTGTGGCTGGGCCCCTCCTGCTGCCTCGCCTACCATGGGTCATGTTACCCTGGAAGTCAGTCACCAGGGAATTCTGGTATTTTCAATTACTAGCTGGGCATGCTGGCAGGGGATGGGGTCAGTGGTGCCCTGTGACCCCTGCCAGGAGATGGAGCCCCAGGGGGCAGAGAAAGAAGCCTGTGGTTGAGGGGGAGGGGGAGGCCGGCAATCTGCTCTACTTTAGCAGGTGTGGGGAGGAATGGGGGCAACGGAGGAAAC